AACCAGCCTGAGCAAGAGTGAGACCCCGTCTCTACTATAAATGGAAAGAAATTAATTGCCAGCTAAAAATATACACAAAAATTAGCCGGGCATGGTGGCACATACCTGTAGTCCCAGCTACTCGGGAGGCTGAGGCAGCAGGATTGCTTGAGCCCAGGATGTTGAGGTTGCTGTGAGCTAGGCTGACGCCACGGCACTCACTCTAGCCTGGGCAACAAAGTGAGACTCTGTCTGTCTCAAAAAAAAAAAAAAAAAAATTATTTTGTTGGAGGCATCAAACTGCCAGACTTCAAAATATACTACAAGATTGAAGTAACCAAAACAGCATAGTATTGGCATGAAAACAGACACATAGACCAAGGGAACAGATTAGAGAACCCAGAAATTAATCCGTGTATCTACAGCCAACTGATTTTCGACAGAAGCACCAAGAATGTTCGTTGGAGAAAGGACCATCTCTTCAATAAATGATATTAGAAAAATAAGGTATCCATATGCAGAAGAGTGAAACTAGGCCCCCACCTCTCATCCTATACAAAAATCAACTAAAAATGGATTGAAGACTTAAATCTAAGATCTAAAACTGTAAAACTACTAGAAGAAAACATTGGGGAAATGCTTCAAGACATTGTTGGTCTGGGAAAAGATTTTATTAATAAGATCTTAAAAGCACAGGGAACAAAACCAAAAATAAACAGTGGGGTTATGTCAAACTAAAAAGCTTTTGTACAGCAAAGGAAGTAAACAACAGAGTGAAAAGACAATCTGCCAAATAGGAGAAAATATCTAACAGGTGATTAATATTCAGAATACACAAGGGACTCAAACATCTCAACAGTGAAAAACCAAATAATTTGACTTAAAAAATGGGTAAATAATCTGAACAGACATTTCTCAAAAGAAATGTCCAACAAATATATGAAAAATGCGCATTACTAATCATCAAGGTAATGCAAATCAAAACCACAATGAGGTATTAATCTCACCCCACTTTAAGTGGCTGTTATCAAAAAGAGGAAAAACGGCAAATACTGGTGAGAATGTGGACAAGAGGGAACTCTTATATGCTGTTGGTGGAAGTATAAACTAGTATGGCCACTATGGAGAATAGTATGGAGGGTCCTTAAAAAACTACAAATAGAACTACCATATGATCCAGCAGTCCACTACACTGAGCATTTATCCAAAAGCAAGGAAATCAGTATATTGAAGAGACATCTGCATCGCCATGTTTATTGTAGCACTATTCACAGTACCCAAGATATGGAATCAACTTAGGTGTCCAACAACAGATGAATGGTTAAAGAAAATGTGATACACACACACACACACACACACACACACACACACACACACACACACACACTCACTCCCCCCCTACTCCCCATGTAATACTATTAAGCCACAAAAAGAATGGTCATTCATGGCCACATGGATGGAATTGGAGGACATTATGCTAAGTGAACTAAGACAGGAACAGAAAGTTAAAACACTGCATGTTCTCCCTCATGTGGAAGCTAAAAAAAGTTGATCTCATGTAAGTTAAAAGTAGAATAAGAGGATACTAGAGGCTGGGAAGGGTAGGGGGAGAGGGTGAGATAGGGAGATATTTGTTAAAAGACATAAAATTACAGCTAGATAAGAAAAATAAGTTCTAGTGTTCTATATCATTGTAGGATGACTATTGTTAACAATAGCATATAGTTTCAAATAGCCTAGAAGTAGGAAATTGAATGTTCCTAGCACAAAGAAATGATAAATGTTTGAGATGATGGATATGCTAATTACCCTGATCTGATTGCTATACATTATTTTGTGAAGACATTATCCAAAAAGAAAGCTTTTTGTGAGCTTTAAATAGGAGCTCAATGATATCTAATGCAAAGGCAATTGAGTTAGAGTTTTCAGAAGACTTTTTCATTTTAAAAATTAAATGTAAAAATCTGTTTCTGATTTTATTGCTATCAAGTTTATGAGTGGTTGGAGTCAAATCTGTTCCCTATAGCCTGATTATCAATGTATCAACATGGTCCTTCCTCTCTCTTTAGCTGCTCCTAGACCAAGCTGCCCTGCTGACTCCTCCTACCCTTTGTAATTGGGTTCATCCCTACCTTGCAGCCTTAATGTCACTGTTTTCTAGCATGAAACCTCAAGGTCATCCAGCCAGATCTCCGAACCCTTGGCTGTGTATAGTCATTCATTCATATAAAAAGACCTAGCCAAGTGTCTGGCAGGGGGCAGGTACTTAATAAATGTTTGTTCATTCATTCTGGTCTCCCAGCCTTTACTCATGTTAACTACTCTCTTTCATTTTGGTCCACCCAAGTATTGTATATCCTGTTCAAGGTCTGAACATGAAGTCTTCTCATTATTCTAGTGCAGAAGTATCTTTCATTTCTTGAGATTATTGTGCTTCAAATGGGTACAACCCAATATATTGATTTTCTTTGCCAAACTAAACTGAAAGCCTACTGAGGACACACATCTTGTTTTCATCTTCTCTGTCTACCCCATCATTAAGCTGCTAAGCATTTTACAGGGTGCTAAAGAAATACTTGTTGTCTGGTTAATAGGAATTTTATACTCTCTTCCATGGGAAAGGTTCATAATAAGCCTGAGTACTACCTATGTGAGGTTTTTGGGAGATTAAGTGCCACATGAAATGAGGAAAAACTGTCTACATCTCATTTTTGTCCTGAGAATATTGTAATGTTTTCTGAGGCCAGGATTACTTAGGGTTGAAGTCCACCCTAGAGAAGACCACCCACTGATCACACTTCTGAGGTCTTTGATTTTATTATATGCTTTTTAGTTTAGGCTCCTTTGAAGGGAGTTAGGATAAAGGAAGCAATGAAAATCTGATCTTTGCCTAAGGAATAGATTGTGAATGGTTGTAAGTCTACAGAGAAGCACTTTGTCAGTAATGTTTATGTTTTCCTGAAGTATGTTTTAATATCTATAACATTTTGGGTAAAAAAATTAAGGAAGTTAGACCAAATCTGTATGACTTTCTGTTTTTATTTTCTATGACCTGAAACACCTTATAAATCTTCTTTTATTTCTCTAATAATAGAAATAATAGTCATTACAAGTTAGCTCACTGGTGCTTCTTCTGGTCCTTATTTAGTAGGATTATCGAGCTTCAGACCTATTTTGGGGGTTGAATTCCAATTTAAGCATTGATAATTCTGTTCAAGGTATACTCTGAAATTGTCATATTGAGCATAAAATAAAGCTTATCCTGACTTTGGAATTTGACAACTAGTAGTACATGGCCTTTAAAAAATGTTAAAATGAGACATATCATCAGGTCTTTATAGGAGAACTGTAGCTGAAGACTGTGACCTGTCATTCTTTGGGATACTTAAGAATTAGAATTTTTTAAAAAAATCCATTATATACTACTTTTCTGGTTCTTTGTTGGTCTCTTAACTGATTCTTGTTTCCCTAAATATATCACCGATTATGTCTTTATAATCAGATATACTTTGAATATGGATTATATCTTTACTTTTCATGTATTTAGAACCCCAGACATAACTCATATTGAAATGATTTGAATTATAGGTTATGGGCCTGCTCTCATCTTTCCAATTTATTAACTCATTTTAATACAACAACCTGTGTGCTGAGTACTGGTATCATCCCCAGTTTATAAATAAAAAATCTGAGATACTTGCCCATGTCCAATGTTTAACTACTCTTCCTACAGTTATCATCTGTAATGTGTGCAGAACACTAATCCTTATGCTGAGGTAGAAGGTGTTTTTAGGTAAGCATATTGGAGATATTTTGGGACAGCTTGCCTTTCACCATACTGTGATCTGCTGGGGAGACCTGGATAAAGTGATAGTTTATTCTAGCTTTGCTCCTGAGTTTTATATAAAACCTGATTTTCTAAATTCAGTAACTACCAAATCTAATGGTATAAAAGCTCAATCAGCCTAATGGTTAATACTATTCAAAATGTTAATGAAAAGTGAATTGTCAGTTTTCTTTAAAATAAATAGTCTGGCTGGCTATGGTGGTGCATGCCTGTATTCCCAGCTACTCTGAGGCTAAGGCAAGAGGATTGCTTGAGCCCAGGAGTTGGAGACTGTAGTGTGCTGGATTGTGTCTGTGAATAGCCACTGCACTCTAGCCTGGGAAACATAGCAAGACCCCCATCTGTAAAAAATATAAAAATAAAATTAATGGTCATGTTTGTTATTTGTCTAGTCTTACGTGGAGAAAGACAACATGTAGGATTGGGTGGCATTCTGGCAAATTCCACAGTTCTGACTCAGAGTGAAGCCTGTTAGTTTTTCAGAAGGCCCTTTATGGTAAATCTTGTATTATCATTAACATTTATGTGTAGGAGTTACTGTTTAATAGGTATGGAGTTTCCGTTTAGGCAGATGAAAAATTTTTGTAAATGCATGACGGTGATGGTTGCACAACAGTGTGAATGTCCTTAATGCCACTCAACTGTACACTTAAAAATGGTTAAAATGGTAAATTTTGTTACATACGTTTTACCACAATAAAAAAATTTAGAAAGAGGGAAAAAATGCTAATTATTCACCTAGACCTATGTGTATAAATGTTGTCATTTTGTGTAGTTTGCTGTTGGGGTTTAATGATTGAGCTAACAAACGACACACTGAGGTTTGTGAAGCTAGCAGAGGGAGGCAGTTCTAATGCAGTGGGTGCAAATGGTTGACTCTAGAGCCAGACTGCATGGGTCATATGGGAGCACACTGCTTTCTTGCTGTGTGACTTTGGATAAGTTTCTTAGTCTTTCTGGGCCTCAGTTTCCCCATTGTGAAGTAGGGTTAATGATAGTATTTGTTTCATGGAATTATTGTGAGGATTAAATGAGATGTTATAAAAATGCTTAAAACATTACCTGTTACATGGTGCTAACTGGATGGACCTGGGTTCCAAATGATATTCCCGATATAAATATATCCATAAATATAAGCATAAATTCAGTGTTTCTTTTTGATTTTTTTTTTAAGGTAAAAGAAATAGGAGATTACTTTAAACAACACCTTTTACAGTCCAGGCACAGAGGAGCATTTGAACTGGCTTATACTGGTTTTGTGAAACTCACTGAAATACTAAACAGGTAAAACAGATATCCTTTTGTGTACATTTTGAAAAGACTAAATGTACAAACCATATGCTTGGAGTAGAATTTAGTTGTGTCTATTGATGTTTAAAAGGATCAGACTTGGTTGGCTACAAAAATCTTAGAAGAAATTATTTTCTTAGGTTTCATTGTATGATTTACTGCAGATGATTGAGTGAAATGTCTAAACAGAGTTGCTCTCTCATTGAAAGGTGATTTGAAGAAAACTCAAAGATTTTGCTAAAAATAACTTTGAAATTACTATTTCTTTTCATTGGATGAAATAAACATTATGTTTGTTTGAAAATTACTTGGCATTTCAAATAAAATAAGCCCTGCAGTTTTTTGGAGTTGTACGTGTTACACTTCAGGAAGAAACACTTGAGGATTTTCTCTTTTCTTTGTAATTTTATCTTATAGAAAAATTTAAAAGAACAACAAGTAGGCGAAGAATTACAAGATTTTTTTCCTCTTACTTGGAAAAGTACTTAGATAAATTTAATATATTTCACCAAATGTATTTTTTTTTACATTATAGTTACTGATAATTTCATTCATTCATATAACAGATTTCCTCTAAAGAGCTTGTGAGGAAACCTTAAATTACTTAATGACTAAGTGTTCATGTCAAGTGTTCTCTAAATAAAAGGTAGTATTTTCCAGGAAAACATTTCCATTGCCTGGAAACTTTTTGAAATGAAGCAGAGTTCTGCCAGCCTTGTAGCCTTAGCAAACATTTTATTTTGGGCTTTCAAGACATTTATTCCTTGAATATTTTTGAAACTTTTTTTTTTCACACTCCTGGTAAAAACACTTATAAAACATTTTGGCAGTTATGAGCTGCACAAAATGTCTTTAAATGATACTTTAAAAAAATGTCCCTGACATTAGACTGCTGACCATGAAAATATTTTATCTTTTCAACTCTTTGTTTCTAGTGTAGACATGACTTATGAATATATTTTTCTCACAACATAGCATACACTCCATTCCCTTCAAATCAGTTAACAAATATATATTGAATATTAGATGTGTGCTTAGTACTGTGCTTGGTTTGGAAGATATAATACTTTTTTTGAGACAGCGTCTTGCTCTGTTGCCCAGGCTAGGGTGCCGTGATGTCAGCCTAGCTCACAGCAATCTCAAACTCCTGGGCTCAAGTGATCCTTCTGCCTCAGCCTCCCGATTAGCTGGGATTACAGGCATGCACCACCATGCCCAGCTGTTTTTTTCTATATATTTTTAGTTGTCTAATTAATTTCTTTCTATTTTTTTTAGTAGAGATGGGGTCTTGCTCTTGCTCAGGCTGGTTTCGAACTCCTGACCTTGAGCGATCCACCTGCCTGGGCCTCCTAGAGTGCTAGGATTATACGTGTGAGCCACTGTGCCCGGCCGGAAGATATAATACTTTTTTTATAAGACAAGATTCCTGTTTTTAAAAAGCTTATGGTTTAATTTGGGAAATAAGCAGAGATGAAATTCATCATATTTAACAAAAGAAATGACGTGAGCACTGACTGGCCAGAACAGACACTGGCTTTAAGCACCCAGCATCACTGTCTGGGTGTGTGTTGACTGAATACCACCCTGGAACATAAGACCAACACACTGGAATAAGATAAAACTGTCGAATTTTGGGTAAAATTTACAAATTCTATAGGAACAGCAGAGAGTGAAAACAAAAGGAGTAGATTGCTATATTCAGGATGGAGAGAGACAGCAAACATACTGATCGAAATGGATCATAGGAGGCATTAGAGAAATAGCAGTAATCTGTGACTCAAGCTTTTAGTTCTGTGTATATCCATTCCATTTATTCACTGTGAGATTGTACAAAAATTAACCTCTTAGTCTTTGATATCTTTCTTGATCTCTAAAGTGAGGATAAGAATATTTGCTGTATTGGCAGATCTCTTGCTTTTGCTGTATGGCTCAAATAAAATGGATATTTATGAAGACCCTTTTGCATTTAGAATTTCCTACAGTTATAAAGCATTATGAGATTGATGTTGGTTGTGGGGTTGGTGGCATAAAAGTAGTTTTTTGGTTGGAAGTTTTAGGTTAGATAGATTGTAATGACAAATTATAGTGAGGAGAACCTGGAATCAGTTGTAACAGTCTAGATCTAAGATGATGAAGGCTTCCTTTTTGATGATGGCTCTGGGAGTGGAGACAAAGATGTGTTTTAGTTAACATTTGGCCCCATGTATTAATACTAACAATTCCAGACATGATATATTGAATGCCTAGAAGGAAAGCCATGAACACATTTTATTACATTTCATGATTTTATTAAGAATTAGGGTTAAGAATAAGTGTTAAGAATTAGGGCAGGGCTCGGCTGGACGATTCTTCTCAGGGTATTTAATTGAGTTCAGTTGGTGGCATTCAACTGGCAGATGAACTGGTCACAAAGGATCCAAGACAGTTTCACTCACATTTATGACACCTTAGTGAGGATAGCTAGAACACTGGGCCTAGTTGGGACTACACATGTGGCCTCTCACTTAGCATAACAGTCTTGAGGTAGTTGAAATTCTTCTATGGCTGCAGGCTTCCCCTAGAGGGAGGATTCCAAGAGAACCAAGAAGAAGCTGTATAGTCTTTTCTGACCTAGCCTTGGAAGGCTTATGGCATTGTTTCAGTCATATTCCTTTGGTTATAAGTGAGTCTTTAGACCAGCCCAGGTTCAATCCACCTTTTGATAGCAAATTGGCAAGATCATATTGTAATTGTACATGTGGATGAGAGATAATGTGGTGGCCATCTTTGAAAAATGCAATCTGCCTCATGAACCGATTGAATGTGAGTGATAGAGGTTAACAGGAAGTTCACGGTTGCTCCTGTGGTTTTGAGTCTTGGTCACCAAAAAAATGGGATTGATGTTAACAAAGCCAAGAAAACTGAAAGAGAGAATTGGTTTGATAAAGATAAATAAGTTCGTTTTGTATGTGTTGAGCATGAGATAATGATGGCATATCCTGGTGGAAATATTTCAGTTAGCTGTTGGAGATAGGGGATTAATTTGGGTGATATAACTGAAACAGAGATGTAGATTTATGAGCTGTCTCTGTAAACATCATAGTTAGTAGGATTGCAGTGTTTAGGGGGGAGAATAAAAGGAGAAAAGAACAGAGGACTAAGCACTGAGACTTTTGAACAATTGGTTGAGTGGTACAGTTGAAGGCATTCCAAATAAATGGAATGGGAAGACTAGGGAAGGCCCAGTGCCTGGTATCTCAGCCAGTCCTAGTCTATTCCAAAGATTTCCTCATGGCTGTCACTATTGGCTTTTAACCAACCTATTATGAGTTCTTAACTGTTGCTAACAAACCTAGTGGTTCTTGATCCCTTTGTAGACATTTCAAATCTGCTGAACAGAATGTTTTGCAGAGAACATCTTTACAGTGTGTGTGGCTTCCTTTTGTTTGGTTTTTATTTTTAAAAGAAAATTTGTTTCTTTTGGACTACTTTTGAAAGCTTTTTATGAGCTCTTAAGTTATAAAAATGTTGTTTAGGCATACAACATTTAAAAAGTTTGCAAAAAGAAATCTGGGTGTTCATGAAAATCCACAGAAATGGAGGCCAACTGCTGGCCACCTCCTGAACTACAGCTGTGTTAAGGAAGGAAGCACTTAGAGAGATTAATGGATAAATAACCGAAGAGTTAAACATGAGCCACATTGTTTGAGTTGGTTTTTAATAGGATTATTCAAAATGTCTTCAAATATAAACTGACTTCACTATTAAACAATCATCTAAGAATAAATAGGGATGAGAAACACTATTCTTTCTTCTGGGAATCTTTTGAAAGGAACACTTGCAGTTCACACATGTACAAACAGTATGTTGAGTTAATTTTCTATAATCTTTCTGATTTTCTTATATAATGCATTCTCTTTAGAATTTGACAAAATATTCATACTCTTTAAAAAACACAATTACCTGCCTGTGTATAATTACCTGCCTAAGCTTTTGATTGGAGTAGTTAAGTGCATTAAAGTTGTAACTCTAAATTCAAGTTTCTGATGAAATTCATATTTGTTCATTTATTCTTTATGACTTTAGTATTTTAAGTCATTCTTTCAATGAAAATTAACAGAATCCTAAACTAAGGTGTTAAATTGTAGAATCTAACTTTTGTTTGTCCAACCATAAAATATAACTATAAGGGGGGGACAAAATTATTGATTATAATTCTGAATCTAGAAAGGAGATTTATGGATACTTCATTTTGTCTTCATATACTTGAATTGCTCTGCTTAAGGAAATATAGCTTAATCTATAAATATGTATTACAATAATTACAATCATTTTCACATTATTGGCCTGGGAAAAATAACTGGTGACATTTAGCAGTTTTTGTCATAAAATACTAGTGCTGACTCATGGTTGTCAATAGTTATGGTACACAAAAGTAATTTAAATATATATTTAAACTTTCATCAGTTAATTATAGCTACTACAATTCAAGTGCAACAGAAAACCTTTTATGAACAATTGAAGTGATTCAGTTGTCTCATAAAACAATTTCAATAAATAGTAAAAAAATAATTTTCTTTACCTTTCTGGAGAATGAAAGACTAGGTCTCTAAAGAATATATAATTGAGCAAAAATAAACATAGACTGTAAATATATGAGATTTGGGGAAATGTCATTTAATTCTGAATGAAAGAATATACATTCTTGTCTAAACTTTTATTTACATTTCATTTGGTGAATGTGTCTAAGACACTTCCCATTGAGTGTTCTATGAATTTTATTTGAGGTGTTAATAATTAAATAAAGAATAACTAAGTGAAGAATCATCCTGGGGAACCATATTAATTCTTTATAGAAAGAAAAATCATTTTAATTTTTCATTTCTATAGTATATTAAAAGGATGGGGGAAACTAGAATGTCTCTTGATGTTTAAATTCTAAGTCTTTGTGTCTTTGTTTTATTACTTGTTGGTGACGTGTGAGTTTTTATTTTTATTTTTAAGCCTATTCCTAA